GATGAAAGCACGGACAAAGAGAAGAGTGCCACTCTCTCTCCCCATCCAGTCACTCTGATGCGTGGGGCCAATCTCATTAAAGACATGCTGGGCTCCCTGGCAGGAATTAATCAGAGATGGCCACCTGGCTAGCTAATTTAGGGGGGTTCTCTGGAGTGGGTCCAGGAGGGGAGCTCACTCTGGAGTTAATGGGGAAGCAAGCAGTCTACACTGCAGATGGCTGGCTGGTGCAGGTTACTGAGGAACACTTTGCCAGGCAAATCTGAGTCTGTTCCAATCAGAGGGCTGGCAAGAATGTGTTAAACTGCCCCTGTTTTGGTCTGAGGCCACGCATCAGAATTTAAGGTGGAATCGCTAGCCTCAGGTCCCCTTGAGGGGCCAAGCGAAGATTAAACGTTCCTTCTGCACCGGTACCTTCTCCTGCCTCTTTCTCCTTGGCCTCAGGTCACAGATGGGTTCTGTCTCATTGAGCACACAGTAATTCTACCACTGTCCCCTGTAACCACCAGTGCAGATCCTTCCTCCAGGATGCAACCTGCACACAATATTGGAAAGCTTTTCATTTCCCTTTCATGTGCGAGCCAAGAGCTCGGGGAGGGCAGAAACTGCACACTGAGAAACGAGCAATTGAAAAAGTTTCTTTTTAAGCCAGGGTTTGGTTTGAGTGGGCTGCTCTGAATTCCCAAGCGATGCAGGAGGCTTTCAGAGTGCACTTGGTGCTTTTCCATGTAGAAAAACAGTGATGAGAAAAATAAGCCGAGGCGTCACAACCTGACCACAGTCAAGCCACCTGAGCCTGCAGCTCACCAGTCTTCATGAGCAGCATCGACCCTGGTCAGCACTGGGAGGGGATACCTCCAGGAGCAAGAAAAACACATCTCCAACAGAACAGAATCCTTCAGGGCTTTGCAGCGTCTTTGGAGCAGAACGAGCTTCCCTCCAAAGCACGAATGAAGCCAGTGCAGCAGCCTGGTGCAATTGGGTGGCATGCTGAGAGAGGTAGAGTTGTTCAGGCGAGATCTAAGACCAAGGCTTTTCAAGAGGCTTGAACTGCTACTGCTGGTGCTGTACCTGGGTGGTGGCTCCTAGCTATCACAGGCTAGTTGTCACATTTAGGTTATTTTGTATCCAAATGGAACTGATTTGTCTGTTTGCCGCAATGCCCTTAACGAGCAAATCCCATCTGAAAATGCACAGACCTGGAACACATGCCCCCATCTAATCCTACTGCCTGGCCTCAGCTGCCGAACAGGGAGAGAGAAGGCTAGGAGCCACTCTGCCAATCAGTCAATAAGCAATACTTCTGCTCCTGCCCAACACTGTTTTCATCAGCTGCAACTGGCAATTTCAATTCAAAGATTCCCTGGGGTCCTGCAGAGCATGCCACTGCTTAGGGGTCTTTGCATTATAGATACACACACCAAGAGCCCTTAGACTAAATTGAGGAAGCTGAAATGAGACCCAGCAAAGATCATTACATTTACCAACTGCACCTCTTGTAATTCCGGCTGGTTGCCCCACACTGGCCCCCCTCTTGGGTCAGATATGTTCAGGGTGGGTCATGGTGCTGAGGAACGAATTCCGACAGGACAGTGAACCTGAGCTGCCAGAATGCTGAGGAATTGGTGAATTCCAGCTGGCTCGTAAATCAGGATCTCTCTAATACTGGGAATGGCTAACGGATGGGTGTACTCCTAGACCTGAGGAAAAACTCCAGGAAGCTCAAAAGTGTGTTGCTTTCACTAACAGAAGTGGGTCCAATAAAAAGTTTTACCTCACCCAGCTTGTCTCTCATTGTCCCGGGACTGACACTGCACTACACCTGAGCCGAAGACCTATTTTCTCTGAGTAAAACATTCCATCATAAGTGGGTGGAGGGACATCCTTACGGACTTCACGTAACAGGCCTTTCATTCCACCCGAGGTAGCACCTTGAAGCTAGTGCAGTATCCAGTGAGAGGAGTTCACAAAGGAATACACTCTTAACATTTATCCAGACAAATTCTCTTCCCTTAAGGGCTCTTGAGATGAAAGCACTTTTTTTTTCAGCTAAGCTTTTCAACACTTTTGTGCTTTTCACAGTTGTATTCACTAGCATCCTCATGTTCTCCACCAGGAAGGTAACCCAGGAGATCAAATAACATGACAAAAACTTGTTAATGTACCCTGCCATCCTGCCATGGGGAAAACAGAATACAAAGAAAGGAGTTGAAGATGGCACTCCCTAGTTACAGGCCCAAGCGACAGGGAGAAGGCAGTGTTCTTGCAGTCAGAAAGACATAGAAGATGGCTAGGGCTTCGGACAACAAATCAGCAGCTCTATTAGGCCATGTTGAGCGTTAGTTGATGATGAAGCAAAATACAGGACTGTGTAGCACTTTAAAGACTAACAAGATGGTTTATTAGATGATGAGCTTTTGTGGGCCAGACCCACTTCCTCAGATCACATAGTGGAAGAAAATAGTCACAACCATATATACCAAAGGATACAATTAAAAAAAAGAACACATATCCTTTGGTATATATGGTTGTGACTATTTTCTTCCACTATTTGATCTGAGGAAGTGGGTCTGGCCCACGAAAGCTCATCATCTAATAAACCATCTTGTTAGTCTTTAAAGTGCTACATAGTCCTGCATTTTGCTTCAGCTACACCAGACTAACACGGCTACATTTCTATCACTAGTCTAGTTGATGATGAAGCATCCAGGGAAGAATGTCAGCGACACAGACTGAGGTGCATGGACTGAATGGAGACAGGAGGAGTGCATAGAGAGATCTGAGCATGAAGATGAGAGTTAAGAGCACGAGAGTAGATGAGATCAGGCAGAAAGCAAGTGGAAAGCAAGAAGAGGAAGGGAAAGGGCCTACAGGGCAGCTGGAAGAGGACCACAGTCACTGAGGGTATGTCTACACTACTACCCTAGTTCAAACTAGGGTGGTTAATGTAGTCAATCGAAGATGCAAATGAAGCCCGGGATTTAAATATCCCGGGCTTCATTTGCATCTTGCCGGGCGCCGCCATTTTTAAATCCCCGGTAGTTCGGACTTGTGGAACGAGGTGTAACGGTAGTTCAAATTAGAAAGCCTAATTCAAACTACCTACTCTGTGCCATGTGTAGCCGCGAGCACGGAGTCCGAACTACCGGGGATTTAAAAATGGCAGCACCCGGCAAGATGCAAATGAAGCCCGGGATATTTAAAACCTGGGCTTCATTTGCAACTTCGATTGACTACATTAACCACCTTAGTTCGAACTAGGGTGGTAGTGTAGACATACCCTGGGAGAGAACACTGATCAGCAGTCGGAGGAGAACTAGATGAGGGCAGTACTGTAGATACGTATCACCTTCCACTCTGTCTGCACATGTCCAGGCATTGTCTGGAGCAGGGTATTAACTATATCTTTTCCTCCCCCCCCCCATACCTTACCCAGTGCTAAACCTCCACTGTGGAAGCTTTAGCATGTCATAGGAGCATGGCTGGGTGTGGGATTAATACACCTTACTATGGCCCTGTTTGACATCAAACTCTATTGGTGCAGCATTCAACCAGTAATAAATGTGTGCAAATGCGTTTAGATTGCAAATGCAGGAAAATACTCATTATAAGAATGTAATGATGACAAAAAAAAAAGAGAAATCGTTAATGCCAGCAGTGATATATTGTAAACTGAAGACAAAGACTGTTAGACCGTAATCTCCTTTTCACAAAAGACCTTTCTACCACTCCAGTAGTGCAAAGGTAATTTTTACCCTCTTTAAGGGCCTTTTATAAAGTTGTAATGGGGCCTCGGTGTAAATGAGAATGAGATTGGAGATCTCACGTACTCACCTTGGATGGGGAAAAACTTGGTTGAGAATGAAAAGGAATGAAAACCCTAAACTATTTTGGAGCATTGCAAAGGCAGAAATGGCAATTCTGGTTACGGTGAATCCCATTTTACAGAGGAGCTGTTCTGTGATGAAGTGACTTCATTATAAAGAAACTCCCCTGCGTCCTGCACTGCGGTAGTGATTTGTTAAGTGCTGACAATGTGCTCTGCGCTGTACGGGAAACAAATATGAAAAGTCCTTCCCCTGGAGAGCTCACAATCAAACAGAGACATAAAGATGACATGCACAATGTGACCCAAAGGAGGAAGGCACTTGGATTCTTTTTTAATTATTCGATTTTGTATATACAGTAAATAATCTTTTACTCCCAAATATCACGCACATTAACTACCTACCAGGCTGCCCTCAGCTCCTAAGCAACATTCATCTTAATCCTGGTTTTGCAAATCACTGGCGAGACCCAGACATTTTGCCCCATGTGAGGGGTGAAAGCCTGCATGGAAACATCCTGTGATACTTACTCAGCTTTCCACACTCTTAAACATGTCAAACTCCTTCCTGTGATCATCTCTAGCCAGTCCCCTTTCCAATCTTCTCCCATCCTCTCTGACCCTCCACAATTTGCCGTCAGCCTGTACAGAGCTGGAAATCTAAACTCCTGCTGCTGCAAGAGTTTATGTAATTCCAGTGACTTCATTATTGTGACTTCATTATTTGTAACACAAACAATGACTTTTCCCTGCAGTTCGAGCCTGGAGAGCTCTCCACTCTATTCCCTTTATTTTAATGAGTGAAGAGGCTGACTTTCCACTTGCCTGCATCTCCACCCTCTCCAATCTACAATACTTCACTAATGTTTGGGGAGGGAGGGTATTCATATAAAGCCTCGTTCAGAACACAGAGCATGGAAGGTCTGAGGAGCGGACCTGTTAGCTTTCAATCCTCCCCCACAGCAGACTAACATGAAGGCTGACCTGCAGAATTGGCTTTCCTCTTCTATTCCTTCAGGGAAAAAGGGGCCAGACTCTCTATTTCTGGCTACTCTGCTAAGGGCAGCTCCCAATCTGCAGGCATTATCTGAGGTAAGTGCCTGCCAGCTCTCACAGAAAGCTGGTCTGTCCAAGCATGAGCACGGCACTGGAGAAGAAGGACTGGGGATCTTACCTGCCGGACATCCAGCTGGTACTTGAGAATGGGATCCACTGCATCAGGTTCCTTCTGTGTCCACTGCAAGACATAAGAGTAGTTCTTGGATTGCTTCTGGCTCTGGGTGGGGTTGGGAGTATCGTAGTAAAACTCTGGGTTGTAAGCTTTTGCTGGGAAAGAAAAGAAAGAAGAGAGAGGGGAAGGGTAGGGGTGGGGTGGGAATTTAAGTTATAACGTGAGATGGCGAGGGTGGTGAGACTTCACTCCCCAACATATCAGCCCAACTGCAGCGGAGGAGGCACTCTGCACCCAGGGGCACAGGCTGGCACCATGCCACACACCTCATTCACATTTGAAGTGCCACTCAAACCATATGTTTCGATGCTCCCATTTCCACATGCACTATGGAGAGGGGGAGAGGGAAGGTCACAAAAACCAGTGACCCCAGCATGCCACGACACAGCACCAGAGAAGGCAGCAATGGGTTCAATTCTGTGGTAGAACTAGCTCGGATCTCCCTTCTGTTTGTAGTTTATCACTTTCCAGTGATATCTTTGTTACTCCTGTTTCATCAGCTGCTTTACAGAGCTGCCTGCTGACAATCCCGCGGAAAAGATCCTTCCGGGCAATAGACCATAGTTTTCTGTTCAGGGGGAAAGATCTGATTTCTCAGCCAATGTCTGCTCCTAGAAATGAAGAGCTGCACCAGAAAAGAGAGACAGGGGAAACATGCACTAGAAAGAGGCTAGAAGGTTGGCGGCAGATATAAAAGGCGGGGGGAGGCACTGCCCTCCCAAACTGCCAGGCCCACACTCCGTCCCCAGAATGCCTACTGCTTCAGCATGGCTTCCAACAGGCGTTCTGGGGGCGAAGTGTTGCTGCTCCAGGCGTCAGCCATGCTGGGGATGTTGGAGCAGTGTGCACTCCCCATGCTCCAGGGCGGGGAGACTCCTGTGGCGGGCTGAAGGCTTGCCCCTGTGGTGGTGGTGGCTTGGCCTTCACAGAGGGTGGGGCCTCAGGAAGAAGGGACAGGGCTGGGGCCTAGCTTCCCCCAGCCCTGTGTTCACTCACCACCCATGATGGTTGGCAACAGAAAGATTTTCCACAGGGCAGCAGCAGCCCTTTATCTTCCTCTGCCTCCACAAAAAAGCTGCAAAGCAAGCTGGCTTTGCTACAGGAACTGGTTGGGGTAAAATAAGACCCAACCCAAAACTGTTCCCAAGACTGGCCCTTCCCTCTGTGCACCTGTGTTTCTGGCCACAGGAGTCAACAAAACACCACACAGCAAGTGCTCTCCAACCTCGAGGAGTTTGAATAAGATTCTGGGAAGCATCCAGGGCTTAATTGAATGGAATCCTGTGCCTGAGGAGGATCATCCAGCCGCTGAGAGTTGCCCATCCTTAGATGCCGGAACAAAGCACCAGGGGCGAGAATCTGAGTTTGGACACCCAGGTGTCAATCCATAGTTTCATACATTCCAAAGCCAGAAAAGACCCCTGTGATGATCTCCTCTGACCTCCTGAACAGCACAGGCCAAAGACCTACCCCAGAATAATCCCTAGAGCAGAGCTTTTATTTAGAGAAACATCCATTCCTAGATTAAAATGGTTGCTGATGGAGACTGCACCACAACCCTTCGTAAATTATACCAATGGCTAATTATTCTCACAGTTAAAGATTTACACCTTATTTCCAGTCTGATTTTTGTGCAGCTTCAACTGTCAGCCATTAGATAATTTTACACTTTTCTCTGCCAGAGCCTATTATTAAACATCTGCTCCACAGGTAAATATTTATAAACTGGAATCAAGTAATCACTTATCCTTCTTTTTGCTAAGATAAAGAGATGATGCTCCTTGAGTCATAAGAACATGAGAACATACATACTGGGTTCAAGCAAAGGTCCATCTAGCTCAGTATCCTGTCTTCTGACACTGGCAATGTAAGAGCCGCAGAGGAAATGAAGTGATCTCACTCCTGGCACCCATTCCCAGGGTGGGGCCTGCCCACCGGTGGGGCGATCCCTGCCCACCGGTGGGGCGATCTTCCATAAGGACTTTCCCTCTTATCCCATTACAGTCTCTCTTGAGGAGGAATGTTTTTAAATCTTTCAGTCATTCTCCTGGCTCTTCTCTGACCCCTCTCTAATTTTCAACATCATTCTTCAATTCTGGGTACCAGAATTGAACATAGTCTTCTGGCAGCAGTTGCACCTGTGCCAAGTCCTCCTACTCGACATAACCTCAGTCCTCCTATTCGACATCCTCCTGTTTGTGCATCCCAGGATTACATTAGTTCCTTTGGCCATCACAGTGCACCAGGAGCTCGTGTTCAGCTGATGATCTACCACAATTCCCAAATATTTTCCAGGGTCATTGATTCCCAGGATAGACTCCCCCATCTTCTAAGGACACCCCTTGTTCTTTGTTCCGATTTACATTTAGCCACATCAAAATACATAGTTACCATGCCAATCATATTGCTCTTCGGTGACTTACGCTCTAATATTACCTTTCCCTCCAATTTTTGGGTCATTTGCAAATTTTATCAGTGATGATTTTATGTTTTCTTCCAGGTCATTAATGTCAAAAATGTTATTTGTCAGCTGAAGAAGTGGGTTGTGCCCACGAAAGCTCATGATACCATCCATATATAGTTTTGGTTAGTCTCTAAGGGTATGTCTACACTACCACCCTAGTTCGAACTAGGGTGGTAATGTAGGCAACCGCAGTTGCAAATGAAGCCCGGGAAATTCAAATCCCGGGCTTCATTTGCAACTGCGGTTGCCTACATTACCACCCTAGTTCGAACTAGGGTGGTAATGTAGGCAACCGCAGTTGCAAATGAAGCCCGGGAAATTCAAATCCCGGGCTTCATTTGCAACTGCGGTTGCCTACATTACCACCCTAGTTCGAACTAGGGTGGTAATGTAGGCAACCGCAGTTGCAAATGAAGCCCGGGAAATTCAAATCCCGGGCTTCATTTGCAACTGCGGTTGCCTACATTACCACCCTAGTTCGAACTAGGGTGGTAGTGTAGACATACCCTAAGGTGCTACTGGACCATTGTTGTTTTTGAAGTTTTTTTAGCTACAAACTAACATGGCTACCCCCGAGAATGTTAATAGAGTCGCTGTACCCAGCTTAATGGAGTTGATCTAGGTTTGCACGCTCATGACTGAGCTCAAAACCTGGGCAAGAGCAAAAAGGGGGCAAGGCAAGAGATGGGCCTGAATCAGAAGCCTCCTGGGACTTTATGCGAGTCCAGATGCAGGTGTGAATTTCCCAGACTGGGGCCATCTCTAGAAAGCATGGGTTGGAGGAGTGCACAGCAACTATACATATCACTGCCCCCCGACCTCTGCCACTACCAGAGCATGCTCCCGCCATTTTCCATCAAATGCACAGGCCCTGTCATTCTAGCATGGTGTGATCAGCCTGGGAAGGATTCAGTATTTGTTTTCTGTGAACTCTGATGGATGATACGAATGCTTATACACAAGTCTTTTTTTCTTGTTATTTTTATCGACTTAAATTTTTGCACAAGCAAGAAGTTCAGAACCACCTCAAAGACTAATTACTACTTATTCAACTTGTATTGACTGTGGAAGTCAAGTTTCATAATGGATTCCAAAATGATGATAATTACCATCTTGCATAACATTAATTCCTTATTAATTGATTCTGAGAAGTGGCAGCAAAGAGGAAAAAAAAAAGAAGCCCTTTAATAAGGGCTGCGGCATATCAGATACTTTTAAAACTTCCATTGTGGAAAGCGGAAATGTCGCTGGACTTTTTCCAACTGTTTTAGGATGAAAGGAGAACCAGACAATTACACATTCAGATCATGTTTTATGGATCTTGTATGTAAGGCTATGTCTACACTGCACTCTTATTTTGAAATATTTAATGTTATTCACAGCAAGCCCGTTATTTCAAAATAATTTTGAAATAACAGGCTTCTTACGCCGACGTCTGTAATCCTCATTTCACGAGGAGCAAGGGAAGTCGAAGGAAGTGTGTTCTTCCTTTGACTTCCTGCAGCGTGAACAGCGCCAAAAGCTGAGTTAAGGTACTTGGACTTCAGCTACGCAATTAACGTAGCTGAAGCTGCGTATCTTAACTCGACGTTAGCCCGCAATGTAGACATCCCCTAAGTGAAGCTGAAGAGCAGATGAGCACTGATCAGTCCATAGGAGGACAATGGCAACGCTGCTAATCTTTACAACATGTAAGTGCAGGGGGCTGACAAACTTCTGGGCCCCTGGGCAAGGTGGGGGGTGGGGATGGCTCTGCGCTCCTGGAAGTGAGGGGCCTCAAGTAGAAGGGGCGGGCCTGGGGGCAGCTAGCCCTCAGTGCTGCCCCAAGTGCACCACACCACTTCTCCTGCCAGCCTTTAGCATTGCCCAGAGTGCACCACCCAGGGCTCAAGCACTGATCTAAAGCAGGGGTGCGCATACTTTTTTCAACCGTGACCCCCACAGCTGGGCCTGGCTGTTGGCAGCTGTGCGGAGTGGCGACCCCCCAGGAAGACATCTGCCACTCCCTTGGGGGTTGCGCACCACTGATCTAAAGGGCCCACAGCTCTGGCCACCACTCCTGCTGCTAGAGCCCTGCTCCCTTTTGACTTTGTGGGCCCAATGCCCATTTCACCCTTCTCTTCCGCCCCCACTATCGGCAAGCCTATGGATGGGGGATGGATGCAGGACAGCGTAGAAGCATTGGCAACCTGTGTCTCTGGAGGAGGGGGAACAGGAGGGCACTTGGCTTCAGCAGTCATAACATAGGGGAGCATGTGAGTCATGATCCCACATGCTCCCCACACGTTACCTATGTCCAGGAGTCAGATTGTGCCTGTAAAACGTGACAAGCTAATTCCTTACCTGTAGAAGAAGCTAACACCTCCATACCCCCATCCATCTTAGAATCCTTACATGGGCCCCATGATCACAGTACCTGAGCACTCAGGATCTTTAATGAATCACAGCACCCCATAACACAGGATGGTCCTGTTTTCATTGTGCAGATGGGGAACTGAAGCACCGAGAGGTTAAGTGATTTGCCCAAGGTCACACAATAAGTTTGTGGCAGGTCAGGGTGGCTCAAGTCCCAGAAGTTTCAGGCAACTTTATGAGCGCTGAACCGTATATGCTTGACCGTATATGCTGGGTGCATACAAATGGGCAGAGAAGTTAAGGATCTGCACGCTAGCACTGGAAATCGAGGCCCTGGTCTTGAGAAAGGCTGGAACTGAAGGAACACTTGTCATATTCACCTCTTGGATGGTGCTGGCTGTTAAGGGAATCCTGTCTCATGGGACTGAGCACCGCAAACTGAATGGCATTAACCCATTAATTACCAGCTCCAGGAAGGAATCCATGTGCTGGAAGCATTTCCAAGTTCACCAGGAATGAGTAAGCTTGTTAGGGACAGAGTGTGGTTTGACAGAGCACAATGGCCTACATTTCACAGTGCTGGCTGCAAGTTAGGGAGGAAAGGGGGGTAAGTTACAGAAAGAAGCCTAACGCCGGAGGTCTGAAGGGATAAGGGAAGGTTCACTGGAGAAGGGGATGTAGCTAATCAAAATAGGCTTTTCCCTTGGCACACGCCTGGAACATCCTAAGGCCAGCATGGTACCAGTGCCTGAGAAATGACTTAGTGGAAGATGTGAAACAAAAGAGGTCCCACCAGCCCTCCTCTATACAAATACTTAATCTGCAGCACGATGGAATGTAAATCTATCCCTTTAGAAACCAGAGCCCAAGTCAAGCTTCAGGTCAAGGGAAAACCAGTTTTAACGATCGGCAGAAGTGGCTAGGTCAGACGGGTGGTTTTAGCTCAAGTACTGCTGCCCCTTTTTGCTGCCCAAGGAGCCGGAAAGGATTTCACTTGTAGTATAGGCTGGATTTGCACAAACCCAGCAGCAAATCCACTGAGTAAGAGCCCCTGATCCTGCTTAGTTTTTACCTCAGCCGAGAGATCTGGAGAAACAAGAGAAACCTGCACCAAAGGAATGGCTTTGTTTTAGAAAAGGGGACTGGAGGTCTCCAGGAGCTGATGACGGGATGCTGAATCTTACACACCCACATGATCAACATTTACACCCAATTACGATGGTCTATAGCTGAGAGCAGAAAGCCTCAGACTTCTGTACAGCAGCCTATGTGAAATGAGTTTGGTGGGTGTCACTCCTGTTCCTTAGAGGACGTGTTAAGACCACAGAAACACACCAATCCAACAAGCACCAATGAGCCCCCTTCTAAATGGTGGCAGCAGAGGCACTAAGGGGGTACATGAGAAACGGGGGCTGCGCTCCCCACTCAGTACCCCCGGAGCTCGACTAAAGCACACTGGTTGAGAGAAAGAGCCTCCATGTCCAGGGCTCGCCAGCCACAAAGCAAAGCACTGAAAACCAGCCCCAGGAGACGGCAGTGTGTGAGACTTACCAGACACCTGGAAGAGGCAGGTGGAGACCCCCACATCATTGGAGATGCTGCACTCGTAGCTACCACTGCTCTCCCGAGTCACGCTGTCCACCTTCAACTCCGAGTAGTCCTGCTGCTCACTGGGGGGCAGGGTCACGAGGTTCCCATTGAAGCGCCAGACGGCCGTGGCTACCTTCAGGGGGCTCCCTTTCAGCATGGTGCACCGCAGGGTGACGCTGCGGCCTAGGCCCTGGCGGATATCCTGAGAAGTTGGCTCCACCACCGGAGGGACTAGTAATGGTAATGACAAGAACAGAAAGGAAATCCATCAGAGGAATGGCAGTCTGCTTCCACGGCTAGACCCTCACTGGTTGCGCATCATCTCTCAATACTCCCATCCCCACTGCTCTTAACTGTGTATTGCTCCCCCTTGCTAGGGCAGCAATGACCTGTACAATCAACAGATGCTTTAGCCATTTGCCAGCCACTCATGACGGGCCTGGGGCAGCTTGCAACCTCCCGCATCTCCATTATGTAGGGGCAGCCCATGGAGAGAACAGGTCCCAGATCTAGATATAAGCTGCCAAGGTAGAACATTATGCTGAGCCCTAGAATATCAGCCCCCTGAACCTTCATATTAAATGAAGCCCACATTGCCCCGTCCCACCACCTGCATTTTCCCCGCAAGCCCTAAATCAGAACAAGAAGGGTAGTAATTCCTCCAAGACAGTGTGAGCTGCAAACACAAAGTAACTCTCATGCAGAAATCTGTTTTCTCCTGTGCAACTTAGTACAGAGAAGGGTTACAATAGATCAGATAGAGGCCTGTCCCTTGGTAGGATAACACCTGTCAGCCCTTAGAGAACACAGACCCCTTTGTAGGCCGTTGGGGTGTTAAAGGGATGTAATGGATGCAAGAAGCCAGAGATGTACAAGACAGCAGAGTCTAGTGGTTAGATCAGGGGACTGGATGTCAGGACTTCAAGTTCTGTTTTCATGTTTACCATTGACTGACTGACCTTGGCAGGCAAACCACTTCCTCCCTCAATGCTTCATTCTCCTGACCCTTCACAAGGGGCTAACACCACTGATTTTCCTTCCTGGAGGTAAGGCGGCTATGAAAAACGATGAAGGTTCAGAACACTCGTTGAGAACCTCTGGAATGCATGAGTGAGGCACAGGGGAGGGACACGGCATGGTGACAGCATGAGCCACTGCTGCTTGGGCTGTACCGGTTTGATGTACTAACAGAGGACTCTGGTCACCAGGGCTATTGATCCAGCACCTTCCGACAGCACTACACTACTGACTGAAAGTAAGAGTGGGGAAAAACACAAGCTCTCTTGCTCGAATGAGTGTGGCTGCCCCCGTGAGAGGGCAGAATCTTACTCTTGCACTGCCAAAAAGCTCCAAGAGAGAGAGAGCACTGAGATGTCTTTCCATGCATCTAGTACTGTGTGTCTTCCTCTGTGCACCTGGGAGCATCTACAGCCCTGTGAGCAACATCGACCCCAGCACGACAAAATCTCTTCCACCACAGGAGAAACAGCATGTCCAGGGCTGGTACAACAGCGTCTCCTCTCCCAGGTCACCCTTGCTTGACAGTAACCATCTTGTTTTCCAGGTACCTGGCCCAGCTCTCAGCCTTTTTATCCTCTTCTGCGGTTAAATGGATTAAAAACAGCCCTGAACGGAGCGTGTGATGCCCTGTTGAGTGGCATGGTCAGCTCATTACAGATGGCATGCTAGCGGCGTGTCTCAGCAGGCGCTCTAAGAGCTGACTTGCCTTTGGCTTGCATGTCTCCCACCTCACAGTGTTATAATGTGAGAAGTTGTTTGATTAGCCCTAGTGCCACGAACGTGTCATCTTCATCCCCAGCTGCTATCCCATTTCTTGGGTCACATCTGCTCCTGAGAGGAAGCTGTTCTAATCGAGACCGTCTGGTGAGGTGGAAAAAAAGAGACGGCTTCAAAAGTGACATGGCAGCGACAGACGCAGTCAGCCAAAGCAAAAAAGTTTGTGGGGTGGGAGGGGGCAGTTGGAGGGGGCAGCCACCACTTCATAGCACTGAGGAGGCCATGGAGATCCGTGAGATCTGCCGAACCAGCGTAGGTCACTAGGCTGGAGAAGGGGGCCAGGAGCTAGACAAAAAGGTCCCCTTGCTGGCTACAGGGACACCCTGCTCCTTAATAGAGAGGCACTATATGAGGGCAGAAGGAGGACAAGAGAGGAGCAGGGGCAGGGCTGGGAGATCCCAGTTCTTGCCTCAGGGTCCAGGAGCTGCAGGGTCCAGGAGCTGTCACTTTAAATGTGCTCGGGGGGGGGGGGGGGGGGTGAAGATTCCCTACTTAATCTAGACTGCCAGCAGGGTTTGGGCCTATGTTACCATCACTCTCTTCTGCATGGGCAACGGTAAAATAAAATGCTGCATCTGGTTAGGTTATGCCCTGGATGGAGATGCCCACCTCCTCAAACACAAGACAGCACGTCACAAACTTTAAAGCATGGGGCACTGTCCTGCTCGAAGTACCATAAAACCTAGATCTTGGGTGCATGAAGGTCCCTTGACATGCTTGAGGGAGTTATGGAGCTAGCCCTGGTCTCCTGGCTAAATTCCAACATTCAACCTCCCTAAATTCCTTTCCATTTCTCCCCTTACACGCTGTTGTGTAGTGCTGGTGTGTGCTGTAAAGCACCTGCTATGTTCCCCCCCAGAGGTGGCTGCATTCAGCATAGGAGCAATCTCTGAAAACACAGCATTCCAGGGTACTTCCGCCTGAAACGTACTATGCAAATGTACAGACTCCTGTCTTCCTCCTGTGCCAAATAAACCGGAGAACAGGAGCATGGCAAGAAGTATTATGAAAGGGCTGAAGAGGGCAGAGCATTCCCCTGCCAGACAGTGTTAAAGCAGCATCATTTCTCCAACAGGTTCATTCAGATGCTGCTGCTGTGAAAACACAGGGCAAAGCAAGCCCGCCTTAGCTGTAAAATTATTTTGCAACTGTAAAAATCATAGCCATTCACCTGCTTGTTAGGAACAAATAAAATCAACCAAATTAAGGTGGTTTCACTGGTCATCCCAGAGATCTGAAAGCCAAGAGAGACTCTATCCAGCACCCTCATAGCAGCCAGTCTGAGATATTTGCAGAGAATGGGGCTGCCAGGGTAGCAGGGCCATTTTTAGTGAAAGTCTCAGGGAACATGTGACAAATAAGAACAGGAGTCAGGGAAGTAGTGTAAAGAAATATCAAGTGCTGGGGTGAAGTTTTGGGTCCTAGTCATGGTCTAATGTTCTTTGTTTCCTGGAACTTACTAGATCCACGCTTGTGCAGCCATACCAGAGGGTAGAGAAATAGTTGCAGGTCCACAGCCAACCTTTTAGAACCAGTTTTGTAAAGCCTTTTTTTATCCTAGCTTCAGAGAAGGGAGAAGCCACGTTTCCTCACAAAGGAATCAAAGTCGCCAGATGGGAACTCCAGTCCATTGTCTCCTTGGACTGTTACTGTGTGGCCTCCAATGCTGCCTACGATGGTAACCCAGAAAGTTTTCAGTGAACTGTCCTTGTATCGGGTCCACCTGCCCCACAGAAACATCCACAAATGTCAAGGAAACGTCCTCCCAGCCCCAGGAAAGTCACAGGAGCCACAAGTCATATGACCACAGCACAGCTAGGTCCTGCCCCAGGGCACAAAGCCTGAGAAAATTGGTTTTGATAATAGGATGGAGTCCTCGCCACTGGCAGCTGCTACGTGTCCTTGTCCATGGATTCACATCACTGTGGACTCTTGTCACGAAGAGTGCCCGGCCAAACAGTGCCCCCATGAGATGGAGGGGATGTGGTGCGAGCATGGCTAGGCAGCCCCTTCCCATTTTTTTCTAGTTGGGGCCACAGCCCCTTAGGCCTGGGATCATTATTTACACTTGGCTTTACAGCAGGTGCGAAACGCTATGCAGAAAGCCAAGAGACACACCCAGGTCCCTGCCTGGAGCTTGCAGGGCAAAGGCATGAATGCACATGTGCAAAGAGATTGGCCTGGGCCCCCAAGATAGGTGGAGCCTGAAAGAAGAAGGAGACTCAGCTGGCACTAGCTGAGAAGCTCCTCCTCCAGAGAAAGGCAGGAAGTGAGGAATGGCAGGAGAAAAGGGAGAGAAGCCTGGACAGGACCGAGCGAGGGGGAAGGAGTCTGGGCTGGAGATTCAGGTGATAGCACAGTGCTGTAGTGAGCTGGGGAGGGGAGAGGGGGGGTGCTTGAGCTGCATGGGGAAGGTGATGGACAAGCCAGTGCACAGACGCAAGGATCCAGTTAACTCGAGTCAGAAATGAACTAGCCCCAAAGGCAGCACCAATAGGGGCCTGAGCCCCAAATCCGAACTCTGTCTCCTCCCAAAACAGCCAGACTCTGGTCTTTGCAGGCTGAAAAAGATCTCGCTTTTCCCAAGAACATCCAGGATCCTCAGCATGGCCTGATTCTGGTCAGGACTAAGCCCAGGAGCAACGAGTACTCTGCAGATCTCAAAGCCCTCTACTAACACTAATGAATTTTCAACCAGGCTGCCCCAGAGCTGGCCTCCTTGCTATTTCACAGCTAGAGAAACTGAGGCCCGGGGCAGGGAACTGATGTGCGCAAGGAAGGCATGAAGTGAGGGATGGCAGCAGCAGAGCTGGGAATCCTGGAGTCCTGCTGCCTTAGATCTGTGCTTTCACCACCAGACCCGGACCTCATCTCCTGTCACACAGCTCCCATGTGGAGCCTCTGGGGTATGTCTACACTGCAGTAAGATACCCACGGCTGGCCCGCTTCCGCTGAGCCAAACCCATGGAGCTATGAAACCATGGTGTAGATGTCTGGGCTCAGGCTGCAACACAGGCTGAGATCCTCCCCTTCTCAGGGTCCAGAAACTGGGCTCCAGCCCAAGCCTGAACATCTATGTCATGGTTTTACAGCCCTGCGAGCCGGAATCAGTGGACACTGGCCAGCAGCAGGTGGTGGATTGCCTGATGGCCATACTTTCAGAAATTCCTTAGCTTTTATCCAAAACAGAGGAAAATACATTCCAACTGCGAGTGATAGAAATAGCAAAGTCTCTAGACGAGAGAGCGATTTTATGTTCAGCAGCCTTAGACTCTCCGCTGCACAACGCTCCTGCCAAACTTAGACACAAACTTAAAATGCAAGCTGCACCCTCTACCCCAGAGGCTGGTCACCAAATGGAAGAGAGCAGCTCCTGCAGATTCCATTTTATCCCCCAGCATGAGCGGACATAACTGACCCCTAAATTCTCCGAT